CCTTAAAGTAAACCAAATGATAGTAAAAACAAATAAAATAAATGTATGTTAACTTTAATAATAATTCCTTGCAAGCCAACTCCATTGAAACTTTTCCATGAAAAACCAAAGCCTTAAAATATAATTTAAATTTGTTGAGAGAAACTTTTACGATTTATTGTTATGATGAAAGCCGCAAAATTTGCTATTTATTATTTTGCACTAGAAATTGTATTTATTATTTTGCACTGGGAAAACTGAATTGAAATTTGATTTGATATCAAGCTGAGCTGATGCCCAAAATTTGATTTCATGTCAGACTCGTTGTCAATTATATAAACCAGTTCTAACTATCAAATTTGTTTGGAATCAGAACAGAAACTGAATTCGGAGGCACGAGTTCAGCTCATCCTCGATTGCATAAAGCAGACGTGGCCATAAATTCCAAATGGCAGAAGAGAGGAATGAAATGCTCTGGTAATAGTTGCGATTATGCCCCATAGCATACGCTTGGTGCGGGTATAAAAATATTTTACGAAAATCTATTTTTTTGTTAGCAGTCGAGTGTAAAATGTTGCACAATTCCCGAGGATGCTTTTCGGTCGGTGGCAGAGGCCGCGGGCAGCGCTTAATGCCAGCCAGCCAGCCAGCCAGCCAACCACATTTCAATAATATCATCATCCTAGAGATATGCTCGGCGGCTGGTGTATTATGATTTTTTTTTTTATTATTACTATTATTATTATGATTTTGTAGCTTTCATTTAGTGAAGCAGGTCGACAGGCTTTGCCCGCCCCATTGAAATATTTTATTAAATTGTAAGCGATGTGCAAATTCAAATAACTCACAAATGTTGATAATCTGGACATTCAGAAGTTTATGGGCGCAGCTCGTGCTCACGCCCAGCGCAACGGCCACGCCCAGGCGGGATTTGGGTGGCTGGTTCATCTGTTGACTTAACTGGTCATTGACTTTGCCAACTTTATGATGCACTAAAATTAAATATACAGCGTAGCATATAAATATCGTACATCGTATACATCGTGTCTCTGTGCATGTGCATAAAAAGGACAACTTTTATTCGCAGGACACAAAGACGGACATTTGCGGCCAGTCGCCGAGCGAAGGTCCTTTTGATTTTTTTCCTTTCACGTGTGCGTGTGTGTGGGAGGCGTTGCCGAGGCAGATCCAGCAGCAGAGCCTGAGCTTGAGCCTGTGCCTGGTCAGCTCCTCCCTGGTTTACTCTGCTGATTAAACATATTGCGGCGACGAGCATGTTGCCAAAAAAAAAAAAAAAAAAGGTAATATTTAAGTTACGGCATAAGTAGCTCAACTGGCAGATACCTTGCGTTGAATGAGCATCATAAAATATACACACACATATATATTTATGTATATACATGTGTACCTGAATAAACATAACCTATTTTACACATAGAAAGTTTTTTACTTTCTATGCACTTTTGTTCGCCTATTGTTCATAAAAAGTTTTTTGTAAAAACATAAAATTTGAAAAAGTTTAACTAGATTCTCTCCCCACATGCGCATATACAAATGGAACGTACATATATACAAATGGCAAACAAATAAAACATTATTTTCAAAACTGTGCCATATAAAACTATTGGGTAAAGCTACGTAGTCCCATGATACAACAATTTTTTTAAAGAAATTATAAAATTTATAGACATAAAGCCATAATATTTTTTAAAATTTTATAAATGAGTAAAATATATAAACATAAATAAACAAAATCAATTAAATAATATATAATAAATAAGTGAAATATATAAATGTAAATAATCAAAATAAATTAAATAAAATATATAAATATATTTTTTAATAGATTTTAATGATTTTAGCTTTAGTTATAGTTTTGACGAAAATAATATATATTTATTATTTATTTTTTTATTCTTAATTTTCAATACTTTTTCAGTTAGAAAATCGATTTAAATTCTAACTTAAGCAAGTAAGAGTTAAGCAAAATGAAAAGAGCCCAGAAATTAATTACAAAAACCTTGTTCAGCTATTGACCACGCCCCACTGAGCAAACTACATAATTTATAGGTCTGTAAGTAGGGGAGGTACCAACCGAACACATCAGCAAAACTAACAATGGTTCCACTCTGACTTGCCACAACAAAACTTGGTAGGCATCTCTATACATCAACACATTAAGAGCAGATGGTAATATATGTTACGTACATAACTGTAATATAATATTTAAGACCCATTAATTACACGTTACAACAGTTAAGCCAGCCAGACATACGCCCCTTAACTCAATTATAGGATATAGGGTATGATGAAAAAAACCACAAACAATTTTAAGCCACAAAATTAAATTCACACCGAGCACTTTTCTCTTTCTCTTTCTCTTCATATTTTTTCGTTTTTGAGCGGTGTTTGCTTTGGTGTTGAGATCGCTTTTTTCTCGCACGCTGTATTTCGGCGAGCTGTCACAGCGAGGACCCCGTGGCTGGGTGCCAGGGTGCCAGGGTGCCAGGGTGCCAGGTTCTCGGTCTTTGGTCCCTGGCTGCACGATAATGGATATCATGTTGCCGTTGGGTTTACATTTTAGTTTTACACTTTTCGTTGTAATAAACACATGACAACATGCAAGGCTCCTAGCAGAGTACAAGGAAATAGCAAAAGTCTATGGCAAATAGTTCCCAGAATCAAGTTAGCCCTAAAATTGAAAATTTGATGAAGAAAAGAGCTTTAACTTGAAGTAATTGAATTTTTAATAATCATAATTTTATTATATTATATTATATAATAAAATGTATTTAATAATCTAATCTTGCTCTCCTTTTGTTTTTTCCAAATATTTAATCAAAAAAATCTGTGGCAGCCTTTTTTAATTAAGTAATTTCCCACAGATAATTAAATTAATCCGCACACAGCACTTTGCGGAATTGCGGCGAAAGCGTTTCTTGGAATTCACAGCAAACATATTTTTGCTTATAAGCAAAGTCCTTTCTTTTTTATACATTTATTTCGCTAGCTCCTGAAAGGGTACGAATTTTAGATGTCCTTTTGTGTTTTTGCGCTTGTCTTTGACTCCGTCTCCGTCTCTGTCTCCAACCCTTTCGCTGTGTTTGTGTTTGTGCATATGCGTGTGTATGTTAAATGTTCGCACTCCCAGAGGAAAAATAATTCGAATGCCGGCTGGCAACAGAAAATATTAATACTTTTTCATTTACTTTCGGCTTGAGGGGAAGAGAGGCCAAGGCGATCCGAAGGTTTTTAGCCAAAAACTTTGCCAAGTTGACCAAATATTTTGTTTGTGCTCAAAGCTTTGCGCATATTTTATGTGCAGCACTTGAGCGAGAGTTTTGCGACCTCTTTCAGATGCTGACTAATGGCTTTCGGTGGAGCTACATGAAGTCGACATGCCAATTGCTCTGGCTTTAAATAATCAAATTAAATGTCAAGTCAAACGCTTGCACAGCCCCCGAAAGTATGCCGCATTATTTGGATCTCCTCCACTTGCTATCAGTAGAAGTCCTGTGTACCATTAACCTTACTCAAAGGAGCCTATCTGCGGGTAATTAGGTTGCCAAACGGAGGCAGCCAGCCGAGCGGCGAGGCAGTCAGAATCAGAGGCTGGAACGGAGCCACGACCTTAATATTAATATTATTATAAATAAATTTAAAACGTAAACTCGCTTAGACCTTAAATTTAACACAAACGCACACAAATCCTCCAAAGGCAGACAGATAAGTTGTGGGCGGCTGGATAACGGGGCGAGGGATGAGAGGAGAAGAGAGGAAGGCTGAGCGGTGCGATAGGTGGCTGGGCGATTTGCGGCAGGCGTGAACCACATCATAAAGCGAAAGCTAAACCCTTCTTGGCTGAAAAATGACACTTCCGCAAAAAGGCGACGACGAACGGAAGGCCTAAAACAACGAAAATTACAGGCACAGCCACTGGACGCAACTGGCTGTGACGAAGGCGCTGCCAAGTGGTGCAGAGTGGTGCGAGACGGGCGCTCTGGCTTTGGTTTCTGGTCTGGATTTGATTTCCTGACTTGCCTCTGGGCCGGGCCCGGCTGCTTTATCAACATCGAAGGCAACTCTGTAAATCGACACGGCCAATTTTATTATTGGAGCCCCAAGAAAATTTCCTTTGCCTATATAAATTGGCAGCAACCGCCAGCTGCCAGCCGCCATCCGCCCACGCACACACCCATTCGGTTACCCTTTCCCCCAGGCCTGTCTGAGCCACTTTGTTTGTACGGCCTGCGAGGAATCGAATTAGCATGCAAAATCTTTTGTTTGACTAACAATGTGTCAAAGTGTGTGACGAGCGCGCTTTAGTCTTGGTCGAGGTGAGCCCCGCACTCCGCAGCCCACACAGCCCACTCAGTCCCTCAACCCCCGCACTCCACCCAACACTTTGAAGCCTTCGGGCCATTAGGCTCGATAAAGTCACAGCCACTGCGCACGTCTCCCTAAGGCCACTGGCGGCTGACGAGCCACAATGCTGGCCACCTAAATGGAAACCGCAAAAAGATTGCGCACACAAAGTAAAGTGAATTATTGCTGCAAACGTTATCCTAGGCGAGGGAGACAAACGCTTAATTAAGCATTAACCCAGCTCCCGTTGCACAACAGTAATTCCTCTAATTGGTCACATGGCCACAATGTCCATTTAAAACAATCAAAGTGGGTCAACCTTTCACGGCGTGGTTCTATGGCCAGCTCCGCTGAGTGTGCTTCATAATTTTATTTTATCTTTCTACTTTGGCATATGCCAAGCCATAAAAAAGTTCACCTCGACTCTAGGGCAAAAGATTCCAAATTATTTTTTATGTTAATTTTATGCCTCATTTCTCATTTGCTGCGGAAATTGTTGAAAATGCGTGAAATCATAATCGATATGTTTAACACTTCAGCTTTTATTGGCGAAGTTCGCAAATATTTTCAGCTAATGAACTACCGCTTTGCAAGTGGTAATAGAATACATTGGCATTCATATACGTCCTGAATAGCATTGTTAATTAACGGCTTACGTTCTGTAACCCAAGAAGCATTTAAAGCGTATTCCACTGCAGTTTGAGGCCAAGCTGAAGCCCAGTTGAAGCACAGTCCATTAGTAGCAAGAATTCAGTTGGGCTTTATAACATCAATTGAAGCTGCAATGAGGCAAGAAACATTTCAATCAATAGGATATACGTTTCTTAACTTTGTGGCAAATACTTTTTTTTTAAGCTCGAAAGATGCTTTGACAAAGTTTCTTTTAATTTTTTTATATTTATTTATTTACACAAACTTTGGCAAAGTATTTTTTTTAAATATTTTTATGAGTTGGGAATTTCAGCAAAGAATTTCGATTTTTTGAATATTTTAACTAAGTTGTTTCATAATAAAGTTGCCTCTGGAGACAGCATATGAGGTAATCGCTTTGTGAGGAAGATGTTTATCTTACAAGAATTAAATATGTATGTGTATGAAAAAGTTCTCTCGCAGGAGACGGTATGCGCTAATTGGGATAGGTGAAGTATTTTTTAGGGAGAGTATATGAGGTATATGTATATTCATATGTTTATATTGTATATATATTTGCTGTATATGAGTACATAAACTATAAGAGATAATTCGCCATTCGTTCTTTGATATTGGATATTACATTATATTGGATATTATATATATATATTATATGCACATTATGAGAAAACTTCAACTCGATTGAAGATTCGAAGTGTATATAAAATCGATTGATTTATCTCGCAATAATAAAGTATTTATATAAAAAATTAATATTTGCTTCCTACGACATTTTATGCATTTGAGAATGCAAGAATTGACAAGCATAAACTTGATTCTACAACAACGTGCTTCATTGGATCTCATTCACCTTAGGCAGAGCACATGAGCCGAACGATCGATATATGAAATCGAGCAGAAGCTGGTATGCAGAGAGCATATAGGGCATTCCACAGTTGACTTTTAAGCAACTCTACTGAGAAATGCTGATCACATATTCATCTTCTGATATACATAATACTCTTTTCCTAATACAGCATTGCATAAAATATAAATTTATGCCAGTACAATGATTATTTATGGCTCACATTCGATATTGACTTAACATATACACATTTATAATACGAATTTATGTTGAACAATATAAATATTTATGGCTAAGTAATAGCTTTTTATTATTTACTGTTAAAGTCAAAAGATTTTCCCTAATCTGCGAAGGGCATATAGACATCTAATATTTGATGGCAACACCCCTAATTCTTCACATCCAAATGCAGCGAATGCGAATGACAAATGTATTTGGAGGCTAAACAGAAATCGTAATACAAAAATGATAAATGATATCAATAAATTCCAGAGTATATATATTATATATTAAATTTGCTTCTCTTTTTTTCGCATGCAATAAACCAGTAGATTTATCAACATGATTTAGGAATTTCTTTTTTCGCATTCGAATTTTAATGTACGTATATCTCAGGCCGACTCTTTTGCAGCTAATTGGCTGCTCTAATCAATTGCCTGGCATAGTTTGTATTGGGGAATAAACAATTTCCTCTGCATATTGTTTGTCATCAACTTTAGCTGAGCTGAACTGAGCTGAGCTACTTAATTAATGTTCGTTTGCTTTGATGATGTCGATGCGGCTGTTAACTACATTGTGTTGACCTTTCTGGCGAAATGCGAATGCGAGTGCAGCTCGCTCCACTGTGGGGGCAACTTGTAAGTAGTCCAAAGCAACGGCTTGTGCTAAATTAGCAAATGACATAGTCAACATGGCCAACATAGCGGCAGGCGCCAGGCCCATTCCTCATGTCCCCGCAACCCCTCCAGCCTGATAATCCACAAAACAACGTGCAATGCCGACACCATTTACAGCTGCCCCTCGGCTGCCTGCGCCCAGCGACGCCCCGCCACGCCACGGCACAGTCAGCCCCCCCTGAGCTGACACAGAACATAATGCCGACGGGCAATGCTCTTTTAAGCACGCAGCTATGAATGGAGCAGGCGCCAGGAAGGTGGGCATGGGGAGTGGGGAGTGGGGAGTGGGTAGTGGGTGCTCTTAGCGCTGCTGTCTAGCGAAAGTGCCTCAAATGCGCGTAACAATAATGATCATACATACACACAAACACAGTTATAAACCCTATAGAAAAATACACAGTTCCCATTGGCAGCTGCTGCCGCGGCACTCATCAAAATGTGACAAAAACGCAAACAAACAAAGAGATAAACAAAGAGACACTGGCAGGGACGTTGGCAGCTTTCACGCAGCTTTCATTAGTCGCAATTTACCTACAAGACCCTCCCCCGGCCCCCCAGCCACCCTCTCCATCCCCTGGCACTCGGTTGCTAGAAGAGCCCATAAACGTACCGCTGATAACTTCTTTAAGTCTTGGGTCCAACTGGGCACAGAGACAGCCGGCTCTCTGTTTCCGCCCCGCTCCAAATAAAAAAATATGCTAAGGCAGCACGAAAAATATTTTAAATTGAAATTCTGTTTATCGCGCTGACGAAATCGTCCAAACAGACCAAAAGCCCGCAGTCCCCAAGCCCCATGACCTCAACACCCCAAAACCCCTCCAAACCTTTAGCACACATTGCGGCCTGGCTTGGCATGGCATGGCATGGCATGGCCTGTCCTGACTTGACTTGGCCTGGTTGGCCCGGCTTTACTTAGCTTTTTGGGGGTAATTCAATAAAGTGGAAAATGATGCTCATCGTCAACGTAATTTGCTTTCGTGGTTTTGCACAAATCCGCCAAGGAGGCCAAACCGACTGACTACAGATGTGAGGACTCAGCACTGCTAACGGGGCACTTGAATGCCGTTAATCGGTTCTTCATATCACATCAAACGGGGACCGAATTGCTGAAACTCGGCCTCATCATCAGCGACAACATAATCTGCAATAACCCACAGCCACAGCTACATCCACAGCCAAAGCCAAAGCCAAACAGCTAGAGATGGCAGAGTTAGCTGAGCCCAATGCCAGACTGTGAGACTCACACGGGCAAATATTTGATCATTCAGGAAATATGTTGACGAATATTGAAGAAGCCTAAGAGGATACAGAATTTAACTGCTGATATATCAAAATTTCAAGGATATCTTGAAGTGACTGCTTCTAATGCCTTTTGAAAACGGATGTTAGATTTGGGAAACCGAATACTACGGTTAAGAAGTAAAACCTGAAAAATATTAAAATTATATATAAATTATATATTACGTTCAAATATCTAAAAATATTATATTTTCATTTTAAATAAAATAAGAAAATAAATAAACAATTAAAAAAAAATAAAATTTCATTTACATAAAAATTAAGCACAAAAACGTTTAATTTTAAATTTTATAGTCATAATATATATAAATATATGTATTTATATTTATATATCCAAATCAGTTTAAATATTTTGAATAAATCATTTTATAAATAAATTAATTAATTGTCCATTTATTATATTATATATATATATATATATATATATATATATATATATATATATATATATATATATATATATATATATATATATCGTTTAATATTTTATTTGTATTCATTTTAAATAAAACAATTATTCAAAACAAATTTTTTTTTTTAGTATTTGTATATTCAAATATTTGTTTCCCATAAATAATATATTATACCACTTATGCCATGAAATATTGATTTATATTTTCATTCAACATTGAGTTTATTTGGTGTTAATTACATCAATGGTTTTGTGTTTTAATTTATTATGAAAACAAAAATAATAGATACAATCATATTTATGAGATGCTTTAAAAATTCATTAAATATTTACATATAAGCTATTCAAATGTTCGGTTTTGTTTGCTCATTATAACTATTATTGCTACTCTAGTCCCTGCAATGTGTAAAAAAAAATATCCGGCATTCATAAGAGGTCGATCTGCATTTCTAACATTTCGCAAATTACTGAACTGTTAAACATAGATTAAACCGTTTTCGCTCAACAGCTTGAGGTAAATTCCCGTTTCCCGTTTCCAGTTTTTAATTAAAATAATGCCAACAGATATAATTGCTAATTTCGGTTGCTCTCATGGCGAAAGCTGCTGCTGACAAGCCCCACAAAATGCGGTGCCAATCAATTACCCAAGTTTCGTGAAATTATTTTTACTTAAATAAATAACTAAAGGCCTTTGCATTAGCCTAAGCCCGGGAAAATGTTTTTGAAAACATTTCTCCATTTCTGATTACACAAAGCAAAAAATTACGAATAAGCGGGAGAGACGAATGAATGTTGGTTAAATTCGCCCTGGCCAGAAACAAAGACACAGTGCAATTTAAGCTTTGGCCATGTAAAATGAAACATAAATATGAAATAGATTAATTACGCTGCCAGCTGAGCTGGGCATTCGAGCACATCTCTAATAGGAGTCGCATTAGCTGCGAGAGCTAGTGAGCGCATCTCATCAGCGAGTGGCAACTGGAAAGTGGCAAGTGGCAAGTGGCAAGCGCCGTGCGGCTGGCGACAGACTCCCAACTCAAAGACTTCCCAACTTCCTTTGGCTTCGAGCTGCTGCTGATGATGCCAAAAGAAAGCAGACCAAAGGCAAACTGAACCAAAAGCTGAAGCAACATTTACAAAAGGCAGCTGCTGACTGAGTGGCCTCACTGTGTATATGTGTGTTGGGTGTGTGACTGACTGTGTGCGTGTGCTGGATGTGTGAGTGTGTGTGTGTATATGTCGACCCCATTACGTGCCAAAGCACTAAAAACCAGACCAAGCGCCACCACAGGGTGTTTCATTTGCCTTTCACTCGACGTATGTATATATGTGTGTGTGAGTGCATGTATGTGTGTGTGTGTACCTACAAATATGACTGAGCAGCGCTCGTAAATTTTGTCATATTTTCTCGTCTTTCGCGCTCAACTTTTGCCATGAATTTGTTGTTGCTGCTGCTGCTGCTGCTGCTTTGCTGCTGTTGTTGTTGCTGTTGATGCTGATGCCTTTTTTTAGGCGCACATTTTCTTGATAATGCGCCTGACTTTTTGTTTTGTTTCATTTTGCTGTTATTTTATTTTCATTTTATATTTTAGCAGCCCATTAAAAAAACGCGGCCGCACGCACAGTTTGACATGCACTTTTAATCGATTACAAAGCAGAGCGAACAGCAACAACAACAATGTTTCTTGGCACACGATTTTCCATATTTATAAAAAAATATTTCTTTCATTACTTTTTTTTCTGTCATTTTGGCACACATGCTAAATGGGCGTGTGCTAATGTGCGTGTGCGTGTGTGTGTTTGAAGACTTTTTGTTGCTGCTGCTGTTGCTGCTGTTGCTGTTGCTGCTGTTGCTGATGTCTGTGGTGCGATTAAAGTTTATTTTTGCTGCTTTAATTGAATAATAAATTAAGCGAATGGCCCCGACACAAAAGACCCACACAATATCCCCACAATATCGGGCAAGTAACGTGAAGTAAAACTGAAGGCCCATGCACAGGAGGCATGAACTATTGTTATTTGCACAGATTCCAGCGAGCCGAGTGAGCCTGACTGCCTGAGCGTGTCTAAGAGTTTCAGGTCGTTAAGGTTGCAAATGTCTGGCCACGCATCTAATTAGAAACAAATTCATTTACACTTCAAATGGCCTGGCCCAAGTAGCAGTACGCACGCTGTTTACCTTCATAAGGGCCGAATTGGGCGAACACATTAGTTTTCTCCATTAGGCTGCCAAGGGCTAGAGCTGGTGCAGAAGGTAAGCATTTTTGTGTGATAGGTAAGCGAAAAGCAAGTCTGTGCTTAAGCTGCTACATTGATATTATAAAAGGTAGAATGTCTTTTTTATGCTTAGAAGGAGTTAGGAACTCTCCTATAGAGCGCTTAGCAGAGAGCTTAAATTATATGGGTCATCCAATGCATATAGAAACAAGCCAAAATATTTTTAGAAAGAAATAAGGAAAACTAGTTAAGGCTTAGCCACATCTAATATCTTTAAACAAACTTCAATAATATGAGTTATCGCTCAGACAAGCGAGTTTCAGACTAAGTACTTCAAAAAGTTGGTAATGTTCTGTAGGGCTCGATCAATTAACTCTCACCATAATAATCTAAACTTTAACCCATTTTCATTTGAAGTATAAGTTCCTTTCAGTTTATATTAAGCCCGAAATAAAAAACATATTTCCGCCAAGAAAATAGTTGGAACATTTAAAAATATCAATAATTTTCAACGAGAATGTGTAGAAAAAACTAAACAAAAGACCAACAAATCTAATATGAAGAAAATCCATACTAGAACAAAAGCCATTGAACAATTTCTCATAATAAAACTCAAGCAAATCCTAAGCAGTCCAGGCACAGCGTGTGCTTATGTGTGGGTGTGTATATATGTGTGAGTGTATTATTTGTTATGTGTGTAGAAGAGAGGCGTGGAACGATTGGAATAGCAGCGCCGAGCAGAGTTCACAATATCAACTAGTTCAGACTAGAGAGTTCTTACTTGTTTGAAATTTAAAAAAAAGTTTTAATATGATATGTGAAAAAAAATAATAATAATGCAAAAATATATTTATATTAATATATACTTTTAAATAAGTTTTGCCATATTCAAGTACGCAATAATTAATGTTTTTCATATTTAATTTTTTTTTTATAAAATTAGAGCTTTAGTTGATTTTAAAACAAAGCTGATGTTAGTTCAATTAAAATTGTTTGTATGGAATCAATTTTAACAAAATAACATAAACAGTCAAATTCTATTTTCTTAAATGTTTCATTCAGTTATACAAAAAACTTAAAGGATATACTTTCAGAATGTTCCGTAACAATAGAAATGAATTCCTTAACATGTGCACTTCACTCATCGAAATTTGTTCTATTTCAAAAAATATAAATTGGAAATACCCACTGGCCAAACATGCTATAAATATTTATACAATGTGTTTTAAATTCAATTACCGAAGTTGATATGCAAAAAAAAAAAAAAAAAAAAAAAAATATATATATATATATATATATATATATATATATATATATATATATATATATATATATATATATATATATATTTATATACATACATATACTGTTGTAAATAAATTTGCTCTGCGGGCGAAAAGTTTTGCTTGTAACCAAAAAATATGTTGTTTTTTTTTAGCTTAATATTTTATGCATGATAAAGTAAGCGACTAGTAGATGCTCTAAAAATTGTTTCCAGCTCCGGAACAAATTTTTAAGGATTTCTATAGATTTAAATTTCTAAATTCCAAACATTTTTATACAATTCACGGCTTTAAAAAACCTTTTTAGCCCGTAGCTATTTACGTCGCGCTTTATATCTTTAATTCCTTCGTAAATGCACGGCATGCAAATATAAACAAATTGCGAGTCTGTGAAAAAAAAGGATTCTTTTCTTAGTGCTGTCGCTCAGTACATCGTTTGCATATTGCGACACGCTTTGTTACCCCTCGAGAAGAACAGCAAGAGACAAACTCTCACACACCCGCACACACACATACATATCTATATATAATACACCCACAATAAAAATACTAGACTGACTATATAAAAAAACAGAAAGAGAAAATAAAAACAGGTAAAAGCTCCAGAGGGCAATGAATACAATAAACAAAATGCGTAAACAAGGAGGAAGCGCTCAAAGCGGGCATGATTAAAAAGTAAGCAAGAATAATTGCAAAACATTTAAGAACACAGAGGAGGGACAGGTGGAAAGGGGACAGGTGGAAGATGGAGGAACCAGAGGCACAGAAGCTGTAAAGCAAATGAAGTGCATTAGAAAATAAGAAATTTAATTTCGGGCCAAGCCAAAAACCAATTTTCGTCCCTAATGGAATCGTTTCAAGGGGCGTATGAGTGATGTAACGAGTCGGGCTAGACTGCCGAGTGCTGCACATTAACTAGATAACAGATACCCAAACAGATGACACATCTACACATACAGATATCGTGTGTAAGTATGTATATACTTGGGAAATGCATAAGCTGCTCAAAGTTTAATCGCTTGACAGTTGAGAGAGAGATGTGTGAGGAGGGATTGGTTGGGAGAGCGCTGCCAGTCGAGGCTGTGTAGGAGTCTGTGTGACAGGCACAATGAAACGCACTAAATCATAAAGGATCTCTGGCTATAAACTGCACAAAACGCACAAAAACGTTCCTGTTGCTGTTTTAGTGGCTCAATACAGTGACACAGTCGAACTTGAAGGCAAACTCCAGCTCGAGTTTCGAGGCTGGAGAGCTGAGAGTCGAGGCTGAGCCGAGCCAGAGCAGCAGCAAGTGGCTGTCAATGCATTCGGGCAGTGCTTAAGATAAGATGCGGGTCTTTGGAGCTTTACTCTGGCTATAGATGCCATAAGAATACATAAGCACACGCACACAGACACACACAGGCACACACACTTAAAGTTGACTGTCAAACTTTGTTGGGATTACAGCAGCTGTGCGAGAGATAAAGTAGAAATGCAATTGAGAACAATTTAGATAGCAGGCTAAGGCAGCAAAGCTTGAGATATAAATGAATGAGTTATTGTTACGAAAATGTAATAAAGCCAATTAAGGCAATACATTGCTCAAAACATCATAATACCAAAAAGTTATCCGAATAGGCACATTTATTTAAGCTGTCATGGGCAGCGGCTAACCACAAGCATTTCACTCGCCCGTAAATTATTGGCCAATTTTACGCACAGATTACATAAAATACTATTAGGGAAGTTAAGAGAGATTCCTATTGAGCAATATAAGTGTTTATTTGGTATATACATATTTATACAACGATTTCTATCTATCGACAGTTGGCAACAGTCAAGCAAAGCGAAAGTTAGCCGAAAAGTTTTTAATAAATGTCACAAGGGATAAAATTTAAAGTTGAGATTTCATATAAATATTTAAGAACGTCAAAGTTAATCCATCGACGATTTTTGAAGACACAACGACCATATATATATATATATATATATTCCTGACTAGTTAGAAAAGTCAAGTTCTATTCACCTGTTCACCTGTATAAACGTTTGATATATAGATATACTTCTATAACATAAATGGCATACTGGCATACTTCACTTCAATTTTTTATACACTTTTTTACCCTTTACCCTTTTTACACCCGCTCAGAGAGCTTTACTTTGAGAGACATGAAATTGAGTATGAAAAAATGTTGCTTTCATAAACAAACGCACACGAATATTTCAGATTTTGCATGCGTTCTGCTCACTCTACCATAATTGAAAAGAAAATTCATTTCGAATTGAAGAACTTTGTGCACACATGTGAATGTCATGTTTGTGGAAATACTCCTGCTTGATTTTCATTGCCTCCTTCTTTTTTTTTTTTTTTTTTTTCTTTTGCAACCACGTCAATGTACTTGGTAATGGTATTAAAATTGCGGGAAAATGGTTCACAGTTAATTTTCCCCCAGCTGCTTCCATGAAATAGAAAATAAAATTCTTTGCGTAAAAGGTTCGAGGCATAAAGTGCGCAATCAACTTTGATTAAAAATTAATAGGCAAAGTGCAATCGAGTGGAGCAGCGACTCGATTCTTTGACAGCCCAACCAGTTGAATCTAAACCAATTTGTACTCATTTACATTTATATGATTCGCATTTCCATTCCAAACAACGAATTTCAATCAATAATTTCCACTGTTCGTGCATTTGAAATACGAACACGAATAGGAAACGGAATTCCACCAAAGGAGACGAAAGGGTTCTCTTCAGCCCTAGGTTAAGCTCCGTTAAATTAAAGTCCACAACTTGTTGACAACAAGGAGGGCCCGTGCCCAAGCTCTGTTTACTATTTCTTTCAAAACAAAATACCTATTTTCATTTCAGATACTTGAATATGATATTCCTCGAAAGCATTCAATTTTTTCGATATATTTCCTTGCTCCCCTTCCCCTGCTTTCACCATCGAAACGAAATTGCGTAGAAGTTTGAGCAATCAAAACAAGGAAAGAATCTCAAAAGACTTTGAAATACTCTCTAAAATTATTTTTGATAGATAATTGTAACAAAAATGAATTTGCAATTGATGTTTATGTGCCAAAGTATTCTATTAATTTTTATGAATTTTTTTAATTAAAAATAAGTCAACTAAGTATCAGGTATTTACTATACGAATACTCTATCTATTCTACTTTTCATTTATTGGCAACAGGAAATGTAAATAAACAACAATCAGTTTCCAATTTGATTTACGGCGAATCGTCAAATCCATATCCAAACTTTCTTTATGGAATACACTTCGAAAAAAAGACAAATAGGATACAAATGTAGCTCCATCTGTTGTATGGGAATACTTAAAATATGGAATATTGTATTTTGTTGTGTAAACAGATGGCTTAGTGCTCTGAGAGTTAGTCCAAGCGTAAAAAGTATGAGTTTCTACAGGGCAAATGTAAAAACAAATTGCAATATGACAGATGAAAAGTTTGAGTGTAGGTGTGCGTGTGGAGACAAACAATCTGGCGTACAAACACATACAGGTGAGTGAATCGATGGCACTTGAAGCCTCGATGGATTTTTGACAAATTCTCAAATTCTCTTTCAGTTCACGAATTGTTTGCACAGCTGTCGAGTGTCAACAGCGAGCGAGTGTGAGCGACGAATTCAAACAAAATCAGAAAAACAAAATCAAAATCCAAATCAAGCTGAGCTACGCAAATGTCGCACCTCTCTTGAAAAGCGCCCATTCTCAGCCCAAGATAAACTTACAAAAAAAAGTGAGTGTGAAAAAGAAATCAACAAACAAAACGTTAATCAAAAGTGAGTGAATGAATATTTTTAATTTGCTCACCTGTCAGTGGCTCGACATAAATGTAAATTTCGTAAATGAAGTGCGGCAATGCGATGAGAGTTGACAGCTTGCACACACTCAAACAAAAAGGCCATCAATAACAAAGTGCAATTGCAAAAGCCAATTGCAACAGCATTAAATAATAAAAATATTTATTCATAAGGACTTTGGCCATTTATGCTCGACTAATAGATACCAGGTACTTAAGGATGAACAAAGTAAATATTTGCTATATTGATGAATACCTTTGGAGAGCTACATTTAGTTAGTTTAACAGAGTTGAAGCCATTTATGGGTAACTATGACTCATCAAATGACTGTAAGGCTTTTGGTTCTACTATCAGCAGAGCCCGACATTGATAACTGGCCTAAATTCTAAAATGGAGTCTAGTTTACCAATAGAGCAGGACTCTTGGTAAGCTGGAGAATGTGTTCATTTCAGCTTAAACCAATAGAAATGCCCTAGGTTACATCTATATGAACATAAAATAAATAAGTTTTTGTTAACTTTTCTCCAATTGGACTGAATAGAGCAAGCATACATATTTAACGTTTTTACCTATTATAAAACAATATTCAGAATATAAATATAAAAAAATAAATAAATAAATAAATAAATAGAAAGAACAATTTTAAACTTATCAATATACTGTCAAAAAGAAAATCAATCGCTCTATCGTGTTAAAAAAAAATCATTTTTCTTTAAATATTCCTAGAGCAGTTTATGGACGCTTATCTCTACTGATCTGATCTGTAATATATAATATTCATTTCATTCCATTGGCAACGTGCCCTATATATATTTTTTTGTCGCACACGTTTCAATCGCGACTCGTGCTCTAAAAAATGCAACAGTCGAGCATAAAAAACGCACAAAGGTTGTAAAAATTACACAGCTCAACAGAGCGCATTGAATTGCATTCAGCAGTTGGTGTAGTTAAGGACACAGACACAGTCGTATCTTTCGGATTGCTGTTGCAGCAGTTAGAGATGCGATTGGCAATAAGAGCTTACGAGCAAGCTGTCATTAATCGTTGAATGACGCGTCCCGTGCTCGACGCTCTAACTCTATTTCTGCTGACCCTTCCTCTCCCTCCTCTCAACTGTTGACTCAGATCTGAGAGCTCGGGAGGTTTGTTCTCTGTTGCCTTTTCAACTTAGTAGCAGTGGCCTTAACCACTTGCCCCACAACCCGCAGATTGATTGAGTGGCACAAATTAAATGGATTCCATTGAGTTAGCAAAACTTTAATCACATTTAAATTAAGGGTAAACACACATCGATATCAGGAAACTGTCTAAATCAGATTTAGATTTGCAGCTTTGCCAATTTATTATATTTGGTTATAGAATGTGGTTAAATCATTGCCAGCTTCATGGCCATTATAAAATAATTTGAATCATGTTGTTTACAATATATTAAAATATATAAATATATATAGTACCGATATGTATACATTCACATTTAAAGATTGATTTCGTAAGACAAATATGAAGCACTTTATGAAATAAAGATACAAAACATATATATTATATACCCAAGGTTAGGAATTCATAGGAATGCATCGATGATGATTTGATATGATTTGATTGATTAATTTATTCACTCAGTAATTAACTGCTAGCTTGATAGAAAGCTCTAAGCATTCTCAATTATCCCCCTAAACTTCCTCTCTCTTCAATTTGGGGCTAGACAAGCCAAAATGTCACAAGGTCAAGAGGTCAAATAAAAGAGCGGCATTTTCTGTACAGATCTTGAAATCAGATTTCTTTAAACGTCAACTCTATTACCGTGATTTCAGAGACTCACTTCACTTAAGTTGGTTACGCTGATAAATTAAGACGGACTGCTTGAGTGGAAAATGCTGCGCTTTCTGTCTTCATATTTTTTTTCATGCGAATTGCGCAAACAGAAGTCAAGGAGCTTCAACTGCAACTTCAGCATTGGAGCCATTTGGCCGCTGGCCCCATATTCTCCGCTAAAAGATTGCCAACAGCTTCCACTTGAAATAAGAGCGAAAATAGTGCGGAAGTCCGCTTTGGATTGCCGTTTCACGTCTCGCACCTCGACGGCTTCCCAGTTTCTCTGCGAGGCATACTATCTGTCTTGTTAGGTTCTTGAGGATGGCAGCTGTCGGACTTTATGCTAAATACATTTGCTCCAGGGAATGTGGAAATTAAAAATAGCTGCGTGTCAATCGCAGTTCTTTTGGCAGCAAGAAATAAGGCCCTAGCTACTATTAATCTCATTAATTCTGCTCATCTCTGGTGTCGTTAGTTGAGCGGAAAGCCAACTCAATTACGTCTGACTGCAATAAAAGGCAACATTAAGTACGACTAGATAATTAAAACATTTCTCACTACGCAAGATGCGGCGGAATTCCTGCAATTTGGCAGACGAAGTGACAGACGATTAGATTGCCAAAACATCACGCGTTTACATTACGTATACGCACTGGAGATTTATATTCCAGATAGCGTGTGAATTCTATGTCGAACGAATACAATAGAAATTTAGATTACTAGATTAAATATGAGCTGTAGCAAATGAGTTTTGGAATGAATATACATAGTTTGATCGGGGAAATTATTTGAGTTATTGTTGTGTTCTCCGTTAATAAAAATATTCTCAATATTATTTATTTTTTTCTATTTCCTATTTTCCTTTAAATTTATACTTAATGGTTTAAAAAATGTAGTATGCTAATTAAATTTATTTAGAGTTTTAGTTATCAATATAAAAAAAAACTAAAAATTTAAATTTAAAAATTATAAATAAATAAATTATATTACTAATTTAAAAATATTTAATTTAAAATTAATTTTTATATTATTAGTATATCTATATAATATATAGATATATATATATATATATATATTATCTTTCATTACGAAAAGTGCATAAAGGAAAGCACTGTACACACAGAAGCTGTCCAAGATGTCAAAGTAGATACTATATATAGTATATATAATACTAATTATATGCAAAGACAAATATTCTTGCTGTGAAGTGAGGAGACTGAGGCCTCCAGGGTTTCATCTTTAGGATTAAATATGACGCTGCAATGCCACACAGGAGTGAAAGAGTAAGGTTTCTTTACTCGGTAAGCAGCAGAGGCAATCCGAGACACCAGTTTAAATTAAGACCTGCCTGCCTGGTAAGGGTGCATAAGGCAGAGAGACAGAGACTTTGCAGACTGCAAATTAATATGTGTTAAATAAATTAAATATAAAATTAGACTTCTTAAACATATTTAGCACAGAATCAACATCTTTTATATTTCTGAGTGATAAATATTATGTAAAATATTTTTATTTATATAGTACTTGATATTAGCGCAACTAAAATGAACTCAATATCTAAATTAACAATATATATGTATGTATGCTACTATTAATATTCGTTTCAAAGTGTCTTCAAAACATTGAGTTTATTCCAAATTCGTTTCGTCCAACAGTCGCACTCCCACCTTTATGACCCCAACTGTATATGTAAATATTGATAGGTTATGAAGCTATACTCATTAATCATGTTAGCACAATAAAAATTAAGAAAAAAAAAAAAGTAAATAAATATTAGCCAAGAGAAAAAAACGAATTATTTTGAAATCCATGTCTAACCGCATTTTGGCCGCGGCAAAATAATTAACAGTTTAATTCCTAATGTCATTTGAATTATGCATAATTTATTGATGACGAATTTTAAATAATTTCCCATGTTGCTTATTAAAATCGAAATTCACAATCGACTCTAGCATTTTCAAATGTATTTTTAGAATTTTAACTAAATACCTCAAATGGAAAGAAAATCAATTGATGTGAAATTGCTTTAAAAATAATAAAAATTGAAGCCCCGAATCAGCTGCAAATAAATTTGAATAAAAATGCAAAATAATTGCTATACAAAAATTGAAATAAAAGCGGAAAATTATAAAAGCTGAAACTATTCGCAGCATATTTGATATAAAGTTTATTGCAATGTGATAAGCTCTCAATGCGACGACGCGTAATGTAAACATTTCCGATAATTGTAATTTGTTTATTTATTAATTTTATTTTATTACTTTGATAGTTGCAATTACTGTTGCAGCTGCAACTACTGCCAGCCACATGCCACATGCCACATGCTATATGCTACACGCCACATGCTGCCAGCCGCAATATTTGTCGTGAAATGTTATTAATTTATGACTGGACTTCCAGAGGCGCAAAAATGTGCTAATAATAAAGAGTCAAAAGTAAAGCAACAACAACAACAACGACAACTGCGAAAAAATAACACAGTGAAATAAAAGCTTCGACGCACACTTAATCTAGTTGAGACTTGACAACCCCACCAAGCGCGTCCCTCCTCTAGTCCCCGCCCCACCACCGCCATCACCACCACAGTCCTGCTGTGGCGCTTATGTTTAATGCATGCCACAGTCAGTGTGGCAGTTGTAAACGTAACCAGGCAACAACTGCGGACAGCAACTATGACTGGTCTTAATCGCAATCGCAGAGCCAGTCAAGCAAACGCTCAGACCTGAGACTCAGGCGCTGACTGCGACTCCGACTCTGGCTGAGACGGAGACGGAGACAGAGACGGAGATTGAGAGACCTGGTGCGACCCAGGCGATGGCCACAAGTGTAACTGCAGGGGGGAAAAACTCGTGAAAACCCAGAGGGGGCATTCAATTCGCGTTGACTGTCGGGGCGGGCACTTGCTGCGTAGGGCATTCAGGGAGTGGGCCGCAAACAGACAATCACACACACACACACACACACTCATATACCCATAAGCTGTCGTCCTCGCACTTGGCTTTAATATTCAAATGGCAACCAACCTCAAGCAATTGTGGAAAACGCAACGCGACGCAGCAAATATCAAGCAAAAAAAATAATAAAAATGAAAAAGAAAACAAAAAAAATCCCGAAAAAAGTAAAGGAAAACTTGTAGATGCGACCGCGAAGAGCAACAGACGACGGCGACAGCGACAGCGACGGCGGCGGCGACGTAGCGGCGGACTGAAGACGACGACACCGCTGACAGCTGGAGCACGACGTAGCCCAAAAAGATACGACACCACGCGACACACACACACACGCACGCACACTCTCACACGCGAAGATGGCAATTGGTTGTCCCGAGTCCCCAGAGCGACGTGGAGACTAACACGCCGCACAGCCGAAATTACACTGAAAGCGTTTGTGAATGTGAACTCCAGCAGCCGCTGCTGCTGCTGCTGCTGAAGCTGGCGCTGGCGTTGTCGCTGTCAGCGTCGCTGCTGCTGAGCCGAGCCGGGACCGGCAGGCCGGCAGACAAACCGAGCAAATACAACGGGATCTATGGCAACCGAAGTACACGAGCGCCTCCGCTGCCTGGCTGCCGACTGCGCTGGCTTGCCTGGGCTAGGTGCAGGGAGGTGGGCAGTCGTCGCGTCGTTCATGCAAAATAGCCAAATAGCCAGCGCAGCGTCAGAGAAATGTGTTTTCGGCTGAGCGACAGACAGAGTGCAAGAGCAAAAGAGAGGGAGAGAGGGAGAGAGAGCTAGCAAGTGAGAGAGCGCCAGCGAACGCATGGGAGAGCTTCATTGACAAATGCCATAGTGACGCGTAGAGAGTGCGAGAGCTTTTTCCAGGCAACTCTCACCGCGCATAGACCAAAAAATAACTGAAAACTGAAAAACTGGAAAACTGTTAATGTAAATGCCTTTCAACTCTCACGTAATGTCGGCAAGTCTTTAGCTTGTTTTCATGCACTAGCATAGGGTATTGCAAAAGATGTAGTAATTATGTGGCAGCTGAAACTATTAACAGAAATTATAGATGAGAGATGAATATATGATATGATAATATAGATGAATATATTTATATTAAAATATTTAAGGATTATAGAAAATTCAACTCAATAGAAGTTTAAAGCATTGACAAAAATTACTATAAATTATAAATTATAATTAATTATAAATTATTTATATTTCTCTTTGATTATATTAATATATTTATGAATTTAATGAAAATAATGGACTTTTTTTTAACTATTCGAAAATAGTTATAAGATAAATAATAAGTGTATTTTACTAAATCGAATTAAATACTAAAAATTATATAATAATGAAATATTTTATTTAAATGCATCTTAAAATTAATTTAGTAAACCTACTATAGAATACAAATTATTGCATAACATTTAAAATATTTATAATAATATTAAATTTATACCATTTATGAAACAATAAAATATTTATCGCTTAATTCTTCTCCCACAACATGAATAGCATTTTATTTAGTAAGCGTATGCCAAAGTTGTCGTTCTTCAATTAGTTGATTTCTTTTCGTTTTGCTTTACCTGCTCCCACAACATTCCAGCAAGCAAAGAGAGCGCACAGCATAGCAACAACAACAACAACAACTCTGATGTTTATGACGCTGGAAGATTTGCGAACCAGTGTGAAGTACTCGTAGAAACATTAATAGATGCACATACACACACACTCACTCTCACACACACATACACACACCCACACAGACGCAGACTCAGTCACTGTGAGTTGGCTTATGAATTTTGACTTGTAATTGAAATTTTAAGCATTATTAGTTCTCGTTGGCTCAAAGCACGAAGCTTCCAATGGTCAACCTTTGCGGCCTACGCTCGGCGCGCATCTGACTGGTCGCCAACTGTTGATTGGTATGTCAACGGCCGCTGGGACACGACCCCCGCCCACACAGCTCAGTCGCAGCCTGCTCAATCCTTCCTCCTGTTGGCAGATGCCTTTATATATTTTGGGTTGGATTTAGTTAAGTCCTTTCGCTTTCATGGGCCATGTGGCCGCCTAATGAAGCGCTTTGCTGGTCAATAGCCTCCGGAGCCGAGAGCCACAAAATATTTTGCACCTGGCCGTCGCTATCACGGCTAAGACCAAAGGTTAAGTCCGTTGGGGCAATCGCATGTTGTTGCTTTCATCTGAAAGCCCCCAACTATATATATTTATATACATGATGCGCGCTGCCTAACGGTACGAGTAATGTAATTGCTTTCACAATTGAGCAATGAAATCGAGACACTTAAACTCCCTCCACACTCTCCTCGTTGTTGTTGTTGTTGTTGAGGTTGTACACGCTCCAAAGTAACCCAAAAAATAAAAAGAAACTACAAACACCCAGGGCCTTGGGTAGCCAAACATGATTTGCTATTTTGCATAGGTTTTGATGACTCGACGAAAACGCTGCAGATATTAGCAAATAGCAAAGAGCAGCATGGAAAATAAACTTTCTAGAAATAGGCAAACAAATAGGCAGTAAAACGGAATCCCACTAAAGTCCTGGCTCCTCTGCAAATCCCCAAACTAGCCAACGCATTTTCTCATGATTTACTTAAAAGTATTTGCAGCGAGGTTTTATGTAGCCATGGCAAATGCCTTTATATTAAAAATAAACAAGAAAAGTATTTTAATCAATAATTTGTGCGGACCAAAAAAGCACAAATAAATTTTTAATTTCATTGAATTTTAATTCGCTAACAAAATCAATAAAAATATATTTAAGTAATATTTCTCTTCGTTATTAGAATTAAAATACAAATGTAGTTTATTATTTATTTATTTTTAATTACGGCCCCTAATGCAGTGATAATCAAGGTTTAATTTAAATAAAAAATAAAAAGAATACATGTTAGGCAAAAATATTATCTAAATATTATCATTAGATCTTCAACTCGCTTACCGGTATTTGAGGTGATGTAGACAATATTTAAGACGAAACTGAGTCAGCCCTGAAATCGTTTGAAGGGCTTGAAATATTAGCCACACCATCACTGGCTCTAACAAATGGTTTCCTTTCTCTTTTTGTCAAATTTTGGTAATGAACTGAGTTCAATATAAATTATCTTTAATTGAGCAACCATTGAAACTTATACGTTTCACCTAACGCTTCTCAGTACTACGAGGTCTGTTCCAAAAATATTGTATTTAAATTATTTTTAATATGTTCCTTTCAAAGTAATCCGTCAGATAATATTTCTGCCAAAACTTTTTCAAATTCAATTTTTTATGATTTTGCTCAGCTGTTTCTTTAACGCCGGCTTTAGTCGTCCTCAGTGATGGCGTAGCATCCACATTTTATGGGCCACTTCAGTTTCGCGAACAAGTAAACGTCACAGGGGACCTCGTTTGGGGAACAACGATTTCTGCGGCATCTTAAGTGTGTTTTGGTCAGAATTTAAACCTATATTTTATTCTCTTTCCGACAGCTGCCAGCTAAATGACCGAACTTGGCATAAATGAGGGACTTGAGTACAGAGATAAGATCATAAAAAATCAAATACCGCATATACGTTAGCCAAGGCAGTAATAATTGTCATTATATTATTGTCATAAATAGTTAACTAAATAAATATACAAGTATTTCTTGTAGAAGTAAATTAGAAAAATGTAATTATTTGTTTATAGTATATCTATACTCAGATAACAAATTCTATTGATGCAAATAAGAACTCCAACATTTCCCAAACCAGTTCAAAATTCGTTGGCCTCATTTCATTTGGTGTTCAATAGATTTTGTTTATTGCATTTCAGTTTTGAGTTTCGTATATTAATTATATAATTAAATTTATGCTTCTTCATGAATTATTGAGAGAAGCATTTTCGTTTTGTATTCGCATTTGCATTATAGTTCAAATAGTATACAATTCACTTAACTATACAATTAAAAATCAGTTTTGAAATTCCTTGAGAGGAGAACCAAATGCGTAACAATATTATATTAAATAAGAACTAAACAATGTTAATAATATGTATGTATATGTATATGTATGTGTATATATGTATTCGTATTTATATTAATTTTAAGTTGCCTATGAATGCTTTATCCATTGTAAAAACTTAACAAATGTTTTGCAAACTTTATCCGTTTTTCTTTTTGAAATGTTTTTTGTTTTCCTTCATTTATTTTATTTGGTATTTATTGCAAAGCGTTAGCGTCTTCTTCTCCTCCATCATCATCATAATTTGTTTAGCTTAGAAATTATTATTAGTATTATGTATAGATACAATAGCTACGTTTGTATGTTAGTATGTATAATGCTTGCTGAGAGATATTCAAAATGTACAAGAGGCTTTTTATTTACCTAATGATATTCAATAGAAACACATCTTTAGCTATCTTTATATATATATATATATATATATGTGTGTGTTTGTGTGTGTGGGTGTTTGTTTACTCTGCTCTGAGCTCTGACCCCCCGCCACCTATGGCGTCCCTATTTTGAAGAAATTTGTAAGTGTTTGAGTAGGCGAAACAAGTTAAAAGCAGCATTTGCTTAAAACAGAACTTTGCGGAAGAAAAACATTTGAATATTTGAAAATTTAAGTCGTTTTACGCCAAAACTTCCACAGCTCGTGATTTTCCATGTCAATTTTCCGGGCACGCCACCGCCAGGTTAAATAAAGAACAAAAAAATGTAATTAAAGTTGAAGCGCGTATTCCATGATGATGAACGCACAGCCAGCCGGAAATTTTCATTTGTTTTTCTAAAGTTATCTAAAGTTGCGCACAATGTTTTCGTTTTTTATTTTTCTTTCTTGCCTAGACGTTAAAGCCTGGCGGCGACCGTTAGATGTGACCACTTATTAGCTGGAAAGTTGACGCTCGCCTTTAACAAGCGAATCGGACAAGCGCGCGAATGCTCCAATGAATTTTAAGCAGTTGCCATAATACACGAAAAGTTTTTCATTCCATAGAAATTTTATAGATCACGCATACGCCCCGAAACACATATAACAGAGGCTCGGCAGGAGTTTTCCAATTAGGCAATTATGAAGCTTCTAGGCGGGGCAATGCAAGTACAGCTCGAACTTTAGTTGAGTTACTCAAGTGGCTTTGCCTTCAGTGTAGTTTGCTGGGGAAATATGAAAAGCTTAATTAACTGTTTAATGAGCTTTTAAAATAGACTTTCACGCAGTTGGGCAAAGATATTTGAAGCTGTTGAAGTCTGAGGATACAAGTGAAACTTTGAGACCAGCCTAATGAGCATTAAGCAAATATTTGGAAAATTGGGGATACTGGAAAGGCTAAATTAATCATATTTGTATTGGGGGAGGATATATTCAAGGTCTATGGAAACGTATGATAAGCTTTATCGACTTCAGTTACTTTCTGCAGTATATCAAATACTTTTGAAAGCAAAATACATGCAAAGCTCTAAGAGCTGTTAATGACTTTCACAACATAAGAGCAGGATCAAAATTTTTGTAATTTTAGGCACACTAAAAGCTTTAAGAGCTGCGATATTGTTTTTTTTTCTTTAATGCAAAATATTGGAAAAAAAAAGTGTCACAACTGTTTGCTGAGATTGAGAAATTTTTAGATTTCATTAGTAAAGCGCATATAAAATTCATAAGTAACGGTATATTTTAAACAATCTGTTTTGAGACTGAAATTGAAGCCAGATCTATTTAAAAAATTGTTTGCATAAAAAATTTCTGTATTTCTATTGTTGATCCTAACCAATCGTTAAAATCTTTAGCTATGCAGTATATACAACTTTGGCTATTTCTAACATAAGACATATCTATATAGGTATATAAAAAGAAGTGGATCGATAAAACAATTTAAATATAATACTAAAAACCGTTATATTTAAAAACGTCGCTTTGGATTCGTGTCGTCTCCAAAATGCCAAGCAGTGCCGAATGCATTATTAATTGTAATAATACTTATATAGCTAGAGTAATATGTATGTCATGATATGGGAGTGTTGTTTGCGTGATAATAGATTGATAATTACTCATAGGTAGGCATATACGTATGCGAAGGTTACAATAGGTTATAGGCTAGGTATTGCTTGATGGGACTTGAGAGATGAGGGCGGCTGCTTAGAGGAACGCCTTCTTGCTGGCCTCCAGGGTGGTGGTGCTGGTGGTGGTGGTGGTGCCGGTAGCGGTGCTATCCTTGCCGATGCTGGCGGTGGTCGACACCGCTATGCTGGGCACCGCTGGCAGTGTTCCAGATGCTGCAGCAGCCGCTACTCCGGCCGCTGTGGCCGTTATGTTCGCAGCCAATGTCACTGGGACTGTGGACGCCATGGCGGGCGTGGCAGCCAATTGGGTTGGAAAACGTGGCTGAAACGTGGGCTTACCCATGGCCAGTGCCGGATTCAAGTCTAGCATGGTGCGTGGACTCATCGCAACGATGCTGGCGCCCAGGGGACCTGTGAAGAGTTGAGCAACTGTTTGGTTTAGGCGCAGTTAAACGTGAACAGAATGTAGAGTATGTAGAGTAGGGAGACAGCGATAGATAGATAGAAAGATAAACAGTAGAAAGAGAGAAAGAGAAAGAAAGAGAGAGAGAGAGGAGAGAGAGAGAGAAAAAGCAATTATATTAATATTTGTTATAAATATTGTTAAATAAATCCAATCTCAATTTACTTAAGTCGAATTCGAGGATAGACGCAACGCTATTCGGTGTTCTTTAATACAGGGTGCACTTGATATACTACACGTTACAGGGTGTTTGTGGTGGCTGGGATACAAAACGGCATACGATGCACACACTTAATGCACTCACAGCATACAACACACAACACAACACGCAACACGCACAGACAACTTAAATTAAATTAACAACTAATCTAGGGTTAATGGCGCGTCGGAGGTTGAGACCCCGCACGGGAAAACATGCAGCATGCAATCGAACTACTTGAGGGTTGCTTTCGCATGTGTTGGGCAAACTTATTTTGTTCGTATCATCGCTGGATGTTAAGAAGGTGTGAAGGTTCGGAATCGGTAATCGGTTTTGCGGATATCGGTTTTGCGGTTATTCAGTTCAAGGAAATTATCTACAAACTAGTTAGTTTTAGAAATGTTCTTGTAGGAGTTGCTGGCAGCGCCTAAGCTACATAGATAGGATGTTTGTTATAGGATTAGAATAGAGTACTAGGTACATAGAGATTTGTATGCTATTTAGAATATGGTAAACCAACACACCCGCCCAGCTTGATCCGTGTGGCATTTTTGTCTGAGCCTGAGAGAGAGCATGAGAGATGAGCGTTTTACGATACAGATAGCGATAACGATTACGATTGCGATTTCTTTTGATTTTCTTTTTCGATTTTCAATTATTTTTTTTATTTCTGCTCTTTTGATTTTGAGTTGAATTTGCTTTTTTTTTTTGTGCTTTCATTTGAACTGTGTTTTCTGTTTCGGTACTTTTGGAATACAAATTACAAAATATGAACTGGTTTCATTTTATATATATTTTTTAGTCGAAACTGAAGGCCATATCTGAAATACAAAAGTTCAAGATAATACAAATATGTTTGACTATAAAAAATATCAATACGTATATAGAACTAAGTATATATATTATATTGAACGCCTGTTCGACGTTTCGAACAACAGTGAAATATATATATGTATATATTTATATAAAAAATACACACACGCAGACACACATATAGATAGTAAGGCGAGAGAGATACGGATACTTGATGAATAGATATTTATATTTATATATATGTATGCATATAGAGTAGATACTTTTGAACGAAGGAACGAACGAACGAGCCAGAACTGATGAACAACACGTATATCAATATATCAATTAATATTCAATATTCAATATATAATATTCAGTATATTTAGAGAGAGATAGAGAGAGAGAGGTAAACACGTAGAAAATTACATATTGTAGGCTTATATAGAGCATATATATATACGACTATATAGCAAGTTGTAGAAGTTATAGGAGCAGAGTAGTAGCAGTAGCAGTAGGAACAGCAATAGTAGTAGAGTACCAGACGCCACCGCCTGTATCATATAGAGGAGGTCCTTGGTGTGAGGCCAACGTACCACGATTCGTATCTCAATCCAGCGGTTCCTTTTCGATTTCATGTGCATTGTTTCTTTTTTTTCTATATATTTTGTGATAATTTAAATATTCATTCTCAATGATGTGATCAACAGTAGCTTCATAGATATGGTCCATTGTTCAGTACACAATTGCTCTTTGCATTTGAAAATTTCATTCGAGTTTTCTCGGGGTGGTTCAGAGTTCATGTTGTTGTTGCTGTTGTTGTTGTTGTCGTGTTCGTGATTCTTTGCTTAAGGCTCAGAGCAGCCTGCTCTTTTTGCCATCACGTGGTTTGCCAATCATTGTAGTATATTCATCTAAGTATTTACATAAGATTTTTTTGTTTTGGTTTTGGTTTTTTGATTGGGATTATTATTAAAAAAAAAAAAATAAATAAAAGCATGAAAATAAAAATAAATTACATATCGAGAGCAAAATGTATTTTAAAATTGTGGTTGAAAAGGATTTTGATTGATTATCATAAAAGAAGAGAAATGAACCCTTTAAAGCCGAAAACTGAAAGGGCGAATACTTTAATATATTGTACACAAATATTTTTTTGAGAATTTCCAGATGGTTTTTTTTTTTTCAAGTTAAAGCGTTTCTTTGGAAAAAAGCTATAAATGAAGGCTGGTAGATGTATTTTTTGATGGAATAGGTGAATGTTGATTAGAGATCTGTTGAGCAATCGATAAGTATCGATATGTACATACATAAAATAAGAACATATATTGAATATCTCTTGGAATCTACTCAAAGATTGGAAAATTACTTATACATAATTGTAGGCCTAAGTCAATATAAGTCCTTTTGGAGAGTCTTTCGATATCTTTACAGATCTCCCATCAACAGCAGCTCTTGGAGCCCATGAGCAGCGTAAAAGGAAAGCCAAGCGTGTTCGAGATGATTTCAGTTGATGATATTTCGATGTTGTGATTCGAGTAATGCATTCATATTTTAATTACATAGAGTACATATATACACGTACAACTGCCATATATATTGTATTGTAGTTTGCAAGTAGCTCAAGGAGCGCACCTCAAAATAAAATCAAAACTTCATATATAACATATATATATATATATATAATAATAGATGGGTCAAGGGGAGCATTAGTCAAATTTGTAGATCATTTTGTTTGGCTTTGTGCGCAAGCTGTTTTTGCAGAATTTTGGAGGTATACGTTTCGAATAGATATTGCCTAGTACGCTTGAGGAGGACTGCACAACAACTGCTAGGTGAGCCTCAAAGCAAAACGTTTGAGTACTGAGTGCAGCTGTGCAAGCATTGAGCTTTCGTGAAGGTTAGAAGCTGTTTGCCAGTTTACTCAACACTGGCTTAAGGGACAGAGCGAGCGAGACAGAGACAGCGTACGTTAGGTGGTACCGGGGTGCTCCGGGTGCTGAAGCGCTCAGCTCGGTTGTTAAGCTGGTGTAGATTGGTGCTGCTGAATGGCATTCGTTGCGCGACGCAACCGAACACTCACCTGACTTGGGGCTGACCAGATCCTTGGTTTTATTGTTCATGCGACGGGGTCCAGTGCCCCCGGAGCCCATGGGGCCGGAGTGTGGGCCAGAGCCTGGAGTGCCACAGCCACTGACGCCGCCTGGGGCGCCTAAACGAGAGAGAGAGAGAACAATGCGAATGTGAGTGGAATATGCTTTCCTATATGTGAGAGACCATTCCATTGATACTTACGCTCACCTGGCAGTCGGGCCTGTCGCGGCTGTTCGACGGGAAGCACTCGTCTACGCTTCTTTGGCAGTTTGGCTCGCGCCTGCGTATGCGAATAGTACATGGCGAAGTTGCTAACAATGACGGGCACTGGCAGTGCAATGGTTAGCACACCGGCCAGAGCGCAGAGGGCGCCGACAAACATGCCAATGTAGGTCTTGGGCGCCATGTCGCCGTAGCCAACGGTAGTCATGGTGACCAGTGCCCACCACAGGCCCAGCGGTATGCTATTGAAGTCGTTGTGCGGATTGGGCTGTATGCGCTCGGCATAATAGACGAGACTGGCAAAGATCACAATGCCCAGCACCAGGAAGAATACCAGAAGTGTTAGCTCCTTGGCGGAGGCGCGGAACGTCTGTATCAGGATTTTCAGGCCGGACGAATGGCGGGTCAGCTTGAACAGACGCATGATGCGTATAATCGAGAAGAACTCGAGTATGTCAGCGTTCTCCAGATGCGATGCGAATCGCTGAAGCACTAGATCAATATAAAAACTAAGCGTCGCTATATAATCTATGATGTTAACAGATGACTTTAAGAATTCACACTTGTTCGGCGACGAGATGAAGCGAACCTGTAAGAAGGGGAGAATAGAATAAATCTGAATGAGTTTAACAGTTCAGTACCCAACTGATGTTACATATAGTGATCTGCCTAAACATTTATTCAAATTTGACTCTTCTGTTTCTTACCCGCGTTCAATCGCCAATTTATTCTACTCATATACTCATTGTATTATAGTTAATATTTCACATTCACTTACAACTTCTCTTACCAATCATTCCTCTACCTTTATACACAATATTTGGTTAGGGCTATAACACATTGAAAATGGGAACAAGAATCAGATCATATTCGCTCTCTAACAGCATCGATCAAACATCACATCGAGATTTAGTTATATAATTCTTCGTACATCTCGGGAATCAATACAGCCTAAAGCTTTCAATTTATTTCTATCAATTTCCTTAGCTCAGCAATAGCTTTAGCTTCTTCTAGCCTACCAAATTCAGCTACTAGTTTGTGTACTCTCAGTAATAGGTGCCAATTTCGCTGCATCAACTCACCAATATCTCGAACGTAAACCAGGCATTGCAAACGCATTCTATGTAGAAGAAGGCAATGTGCGCATTGGTCATTGACTTGTCCAGGAACCAGGCGGCGCTGCCATTCGCCGTCTTCACTGTGACATTGTGCACGATGGGCACACGCATATCCGGATGGGTTTTCAGACAGAAGGACAATATCGAAATGCATATGAAGAACACCGAGACGACGCCAATGGTCTGTAGAAGCAAGCAGGTGAGTTAAACTGATGAAGCTTTGGGTTTTGATTTCGGCTGCTTACCTTGGCGGCATTTGAACTGTATGGCTCGTCGAATAGCGACCAAATGCGCGGCTTCATTTCCTGCCACCAGGTGATGGTGCCTTTGTAATAATCCTCCTCGAAGCCAAATTTGCGTGCCAATTCCTCTTCGGACGGTTTTTCCGTATCCAGATCTAAGCGATCGAGTACGGCTAGGGTTTCTTGTGTGTCACGATGCTGTAGAGGACGAGTGGATAATAGATATTACATATTTCTTAATAATATTTGCTAACTCACCTGTGTATAGGTCATCCAGCAGCAGGGCTCCACCTGATTCGAGTCGAGACCCCAAAATTCCAATTCCTCCTCGAACAGCGGACCGCACACATCTGTAGGATAATGCAGCTTGCCAGTTCTAGAAGGGTGACACGTTTAATCAGCCATATATACGGTTATAGTTGGTAGTTAAATTCACCTGTAGTAGTTGAGCACTTGTGCGAATACACCTGGATGCCTGTCGAAGAAGTACTCGTTCAGTATGGGATCGTAGTTGGCCAGCGCCTCGGTCAGACGTGATAGACGCGTGGCTGGAATCTTCTTCAGTGTCGCCTTGTACGTTTCATGCCGAATGCCGCCCACATTGAGCACTACCCGATTCTCCGAATCCATGTTGATCAGATTCATGGCTGCATGCGCATAGTGATTCATATTTTTAGGTATATAGGTCATAGTCACAGTACGCTAGCTGAATGGGGTAATGCGATCCGACAGATCTGATGTGTATATGTATTTGTTGTCTTGTGTTATGCTTGGGTCTAGGTTCTACGTTGGGTGTTTGGTGCTGTGGATGTTTGTGTTGGCCGCAAACCTGAATAGTGCTCGTACTCCTTGCCCAGGATTGTGCTATGATTATGCGTTCTCTGGTGCAGGCGCCTCAATTTCTTCTCCTTCCGCTCGCCTGCCGCTCACGCTCCCCCTCTTGCTCTCTCCCTCTCGCTCAGTTGAATGTGCCCAGCGCGTTAGCACTTGAAATTTATCTAGATGTTAGCACCACGAACGCATTTTGGATGCTTTCGTGTGGCATTGAGGTACTCACTAGGTTGGATGCGGATTGGACAGCATTGCGCTGAAAATGAGTTTGCAAAAAAGTTAGAAAATTTTATAGATATCTAAATATATGTAAATAATATTTATTTATTTTTATGACAAAGAGGCTTTGGTTTAAGGAAGTTGGCATAAGGATAATGAGAAATATATTTAAGCTTACATTATTTTAATGCCTTTGACATGAATACTTATTATATCTTTGCATAAAAGCTAATGTCTGTGAATGCTCTATGAATACAATTCGAGATATTGCAATATGAATGTATTCAATTGCCGTTTGGAGCTTAGCATTGGATATATATATTTGCATATGAATAGCCCCCATCTTAATTTAATATACATTTTACTTTATCCCATATTAGACATATAAAGCCTACTCATGCAGCACCCAAATTCCTTGGCTGTGCCTCAGCTGGCAGCAGCTGAAAGTAATCTACGATAGGCTCCTTCGGCATAAATTAGGAGAAATTATGCGAGCGCAAATGTAATCAACAGCACTTAATGCCATTCAAATTTAAACAGCCGCAAACTATGCCGGAAGACATGAGCAAGGAATTTGCCACACGATAACCTTCGGTCACAAGGTGGTCAAGGAAGTCCACCGTATTCAGCAGACACTGCCTTCAACCACTTCCAGTTCCGTCTGCCATATCTTCAGATCAATGGTCTGTGTGAACAGCCGCAGACATCGACAGAGTTCAACATTCCAAAGACCTTCTCGCTTATGTATTTAGTACATTAACCTGACTGGTTCACAGACATTCTGCTTGCTTAACATTAAATGTTAAAAATATAATGAGCTGCTATTACGACGCTGCTAATATTGAGTGTTGTTATAGGGAATAATATAGATAGATAGACTTGATATAATATATATTTCATATATGAATTTAATATTGTAATAATTGGCAATGTTTTAAAAATTAATTATATATAATTTAATTAATATAAATAATTTATTAAATATTAAATTAAATATATCAACTTATCAATTTTGCATTCTCATTAAAAATAGGTTTGTCTAAAAATATACAAATTAAAAAACAAAATTCTTTAATTTTCAATTAAGAAATCAATTTGGAGTAAGAAACTGAGATTTCAGCTGCAGTTTAGTTTTTATATAAACATATATATATATTTGTGTATTCCATCATGTTTAGATCATCGCAAACAAACCTAAACTGAGTGCAGCTATAGCCTTGATCTTTGGCCATGATATACACAAAGTGTGTCTTTAATCAATATTTGTGTAAACAAATCATTAGCATATTCATATTTTATATCAGCACAAATGAAGCGAACACTTTCGCACATCCTCGCCGTTAGTTATTGGAAAAACAAATGGTTTATCGAGCGATTTGTTATGAAAAGGCGCATATCTCATCGCGACCTAGAACTACTATGCAATCATGAACTAGTGATTCAATTCATGCACTCTCAGAATCTATGCGAATTCAAAGAAAATAAATAACTGATTGATGCTTCCTATTTCCTGGCACGAACGGCTCTACAATATTACAAGTCCAGGTAATTTTTTTTTTCCAAGGTATATACACACACTCACACATATACGAGCAAAAGGAAAACAAAATTAAAAATGAATAAAAGAAATTCGGAAAAACACTCGCAATTATATTTGTTTCAATTGAAACGACCCATTAGCAGCTCGTGAAAAGCATCCCACCATTAAATGTTCTGGCTCTTCGAATGACTAAATTTAATCGAAGCTAGAGCCAAATATATAGTATTTATCTATATCTGGGAAAGAATATCATCGATAACGTCATTGTTTTTTGCGCCTTGAGGCCCAAAAAAAAAGAACAGAAAATCTCACTGATTCGTGATTTGCACAAAAGCCAAATATTTGTTCTTAAACAATATTTAGTTTTAACGCTGCATTGTTTACACGCACACACTTTCGCCCATTGTATTCACGAATACACTCAAACCAGAAAAAGAAAAACACCCACATGAACTAGCAGCAACAGTCGTTCCATCGAAATGTCTTTCTCTCTATCTACCGCTAGCTCTATCTCTTGGCCTGTCTGACGCGTCAGTCGATTCTCGATTGTCGACAGTCGATTTTCAATGTTCAATTGTTTACTGACGGCTCTGACAGACAGACGGACAGCCGGACAGACAAACAGGCGGACAGGCGAAAAGACGGGTGGACGGACGGCCGGGCGCAGTGAAAAACATGAGCTTTATAAACAAAACATACAATCGAAACACACGCCGTGGACACCACAACGCCAGCCCCCAAAGCCTCCAAAGGCACCCCAGCACCCCAAAGCAAGCGACGAGCAGTTGCCCAAGCTAAATATACATATATACAAATTTCATTTATGGTATGTAGTTAGTAGGGTGTTCCAGTTGCGGTTGTAGTGCTTGGCAATTAATGTTAAACGATTATGCTGGGCGCACTCGCACTCGCACACACACACACACTCACACTCACGCACACACACTTTCAGAACACAGAGTATGTGTGCTCGCAGTGCTATCCAAACTGTGCTATGTAGTATTCTTACTATTTACTATCAGGCTGCTGGCATATGGCAATACTCATTTATATTTATTGAGCAGCAAATTAGTTTGTTTAATAGCGAGCTTAGTGCATGTAAAACTAATTTATTAGGGGCACTCCTGATATATTACAAATTATAACTATATATTATTATTATCTATATAATATCATCTCTTTAAGTGGTGGCATTCCTACTATGCATCCGCATATGAATGTGTAATGCCTACGGTGCATGTCAAACTATTTGACATCTAACTCTACGAATTGCCTGCATCAATTATTAATATTTATCAGTTGACTTTGAGTCGATCCGCAGCACAATGCATGTCAAACTGTTGACAGCATTTATTATTGAAAAGGTCATATCTACAACGGACTTGTTGGTTCATTAAGAAAACTCTTAGGATTAGCGGCTAAGGTAAAAGTAAGTAATAGTATGAGAATAATACAGTCTGCCTTACTATCTACACTCTGTGAAGTGTATTATATGTAATGCATGTCAAACTGTTGATTACAATATATAAGGAATCATACACTACTCTAGTAATATCTCGATTGTCATTAAAAACTCTCATTAGGTGAACTCAATCTCTTATATTAAAATCTATATCAAACTAGGAGCGACAATGTTTGCTTAACTGTTGACAGCTCAACATTATTTATTATCTATTTCAACTTCGCTCGATTGACCTCTCTCTTCTACACTCACACACTCATTAAGCACAAATCCAATATACTAATCAACATCAATCATATGTACATTTGAGTGCCTCAAAATTGGAATGTCAAACTGTTGACTTTCTTTTTACACATGCATACATAGAATATAAATATTCTGCATGTATATATGTATGTATATAACAACAGCTGTCATTAAAAATCCTATTAATAAGGGCAAATCATTCCATTCAGGCAGTTAGTTATTCTCATATTGGGACAGCACGCATTTGCCCACATGCCGGAAGAAGAGCTGAGCTGGTGATTAGTGCTTGTCAAACTGACAGGCAGGTCTCAAAATTTAATATGATTTAATATTAATATCAGCATAAGAGCGCCATGGCAGAGCCCCATTAAAAATGCTATTAATGAAGGTAACGCTTAACGCTCTTGGCTCCGGCTATATTAGGGGCACTCATTTGCCAGAGGCCACAGCGAGAGAGACAGAGAGAGAGAGAGAGTAGTCGCTGCTCCCGCTACGCCATCATTTATTCACATTTAATGAGCATAGAAGAACTTCAAAAAGCTCGGCGCGTACACATATTTAAAATGAGTTTTCTGTTTTTGTGGCGCTTGTTTGCCTTTTTATACCTAGCCCACAACCCACACTAAACACTCGCACACACATACACAATGGTGCACGCACACACCAAACACACCCACAGCCATATCCTGTTGTTGGCAGCTCACGCACAGGGCGTTTGGGGCAGGCAGCAGGAATCGGGCAGAGTGGCGGGGTAGTAGGTCAGGAGTGTTGCAAGTTGTAGTAGTAAGTAGCGTGTAGCAAGTGCGGTGCTGCCTCTAAATGCTGCTGTTTTTCTTTCACTTCTCCTTTTTTTTCTACTCTCTTTTTTGTTGTGGTATGAAGTCGTTGCTGCCTTCAGTTAACTTGAAGTGTACACACACACACACATGCAGTGTTAAGCTGTTGGGTGTGTGTGTGTGTGGGAACAGGCGCACGCATCGATTTTTCCGTTTGGTGTAGCACGAAAATCTTCCTGATTGTTTTGTTGCCCGTTGACTTTAAAATGAACCGAATTTCTTGGGTTGTGCCCTCAGCCTGGCATAGATCAAACTTTACAAAATTTCCACTAGCTGTCCGTGTGTGTATATATACATAGGATACACGCACGTACACACACAAACACACTCACTCCATTACTCAAACCATTTTCATTGGCCGCTTCTCACCTATTTGCTGGACTTTTGGTTGTTGTGCGCGCTGCCAATAAACATAATCGCTGGAATAGTTTGTCCGCTGCCGCAGCTCTCGGTATCTTTGGGTGTGTGTATGAGTTTCTGTGACAAACCAAAAGGATTGCAACGAAGAAGAAGCAGAAACCCAACCAAAAACAAAAAGAGGGATAACAACTTAAAGCCTAGAACTACACTACACTTTTGTGCCGTTTAACGTGCCCCGTCTCGACGCTGCTGCTCGTTTTGCTCCGCGCTCGACGATTTCTTTCTAATTTTCTTCTTGTCGTTTTTAGGCTCAGCGCGTTCCGAACGATCCGATGCGATTCAACAAACTGAAACCCGAAATACAAATCTCATGGAATATTACGGACTAGCTTCGGCATGGTCTCCGTGCTCTTTGGCAGTGTTACGGTGCATGCGCGTTGCGCCTCATCTCCGTTTCTCTTTTGCGCTGACATTCCACGTGGCTTTCCCCATTTGGCGGCACATGCAACACTGCGTATACGTGTTTTTTTTTTGTGTGTTTTCAAATGCTTCAACATATTTTAATGTGATATTTCAAATTTGGCAAATTAATCGGTAATCTATATCCAATAATAATTTTGCAGATGATATAAATTTTAAATGAAATACCTGGCGTATACACAATTAAGGAACTATTAATCTTAAGCAACTATAGATCTAAATATATGCATAAATTACTCCAAAATTTCATGTAAACAAAATTAAATAACTGAAAGTAAACTGTTTTTTGTGCACACTTAATATACGTAAATTATCTACTAGGAAATAAATGTACATATGAAATATACGCTATAAATGTGTTTATAATTATCATATATCAAATTATATAAATACATTGGATGTTTAGTTGTATTCTGCTTTCTGCATTTTGTAATCGTATTTATGAAATGTAGCAAGAAATTATAGGAAGAGTTTTTCAGTAAGCAGTTAATTCTTATTAGATCTATGATATATTTGCTAACTTAATTGGAAAAGTCAAATTCTTCTATTAATAAATTGAAAATAAAAATGGATATTCCCAAAGCTAGACTTGATATTGATGTATTTCCACAATAGACTCCATCAATTTATAGTTTCCATAGCTCATCGCTCTCCGTTATTATTATAGTTTAAAGAGTCACCCAAAAGTATAGTCATATAATTCTCTTTTAAATTATTCATATTCATTCATTTTTCACTCTATCGAGTCTTTAGCATGGAAAATCACTTTCATTCATATGTTGATCTTTTCAGAGATTCAATGTGCAAAAAATAGCACTTCAATCTTGCATTTCTTATATACATTGCAGCTATTTTCAACCTGTTCAATTTAGCCATTAAAAGTGTTTAGATTCAGCAGGTGCTTTGCCTGAAGCAGACATAATAAAAGAGAACTGCAGTTCGATAAATACATACATCTACATAGAGAACGCATTATGAATACTGGTATTATTTATTTTATTTAAAATACATTTTTCACAGTTGCATCAAGTAAACAATTTTCGGGAACGTAAAAAATGAAGTATAGAGCGAACTGTCAAAATCTGCATAAGAATATTGCGCATACAAATTGATGCAAGGAGGCACAAAAGATAATTGGCGTGGGCAACTGAGAAAAACAATTAAAATTTACTACAAAATGCAAATGCAATTGGCTAGGTGAGAAAATGTTCACAAAGGTGTGTGTGTTTATGTGTGTTAGTATATGTTTGTGTATTATATATATGTTATTGGAGAGAGTCCACTGAGCACAGTCTGAAAAATTGAGTAAATAAACATATTTCCAACAGCTGTCTGTGTTTGTGGATTGTTTGTAAATCTAAAGCTATGCAACGCTCAGGCTTGCTGCTCCTCGCTGCCCGAGGCAGAGGTGTGCCAGACGTGGCCCATTTCGAGTGCCTGCAATTTCAGCATCTCCTTCTGGCTGTCCTTGGCCTGCAGCAGGAAAACGCTTTGCTGCAAGTGAATGGAAATTAGCTAATAGTATATAGATTTGAGAGACAATGCTGGTACTCACTTTAACCTCCTTGGTGGTCAGCACATCCATTTTGTCATAGATGATGGCATGCAGACCCAATTCCTTGAGCAGCTTGATTGTGTCTTTGGAATTGTTGTCATCGCCCCAGCAGAAGAGCACCAGGCCACGCTCCTTTGCCAGATTTACCTAGAACGCCCGTTTTGGTAAAAGTCCAACAAAGTCCAAAGCTGCTCGGTGGCAGTTCATTTTACCTGGCTGGGATCACGCAGTAGGTCCTCCGTATGTGCCACGATGCCTAACAGCTCCATGGCCACCGCATGCCACACGGCCGTCTCCATTGCATTGCCACGTGGGTCCATATACTTCTGGTACTTGGTCGTATGGCCCAGTGTGAGGAACATGACCGGATAACGATTCTGCTTGTAGCGCAGCATCGTGCATATGTCCGGATCAAAGCAGCTAAACACGATGCGTCTGCTGCCCGCCTTGCGCAGCACCACATCCAAAATGCAATCGATATAGAGATTACGATCCACGACATGCTCAAACTCCTCCTCCATGCGACCGTCCTGCAGGCGCTGCGACCATTTGATCTCTATATTAAAGCCGATGTGCTCATCCAGGGCTTCCAGCACATCGGCCAGCTGAGGAAACGGCTGATGCTCCAGCAGATCGTCATTGTGAAAGGAGCGCGTCTCACGGGACAGCCCCTCCGCCGTGTGATACACCTTCAGCTTCTTAAGCTGCTCCAGCGTCAGCTCACGCATGGGCAGTGACAGAAAGTCATGCTCCTGCATACTGCACTTGCTCTTCAACGACACATAGATCATGAAATCATGATAGACAACCGGCACGAGATCCTTGCTCAATTGCACATCGAACTCCACCATGTCTGCGCCATGCTCGGCGGCGTTCTTCAGCGAGGTGATTGTATTCTCTCTGATCACAGCGTCCATCGCCTGGAAAGATGATGAGTTGAGTAACTATAACTGTAAACGTTGCTGATGAAATTATACGCAATTAACACGTCCAATGCAATGTGATGGATAAATATTATTAATCAAATTTATGAAGCCGAATTGCGTTAACTTCTCTCTCGCTAGGTCAAAAATCTCAATAATATGCTAAAATTGCTGGACGCTTCAAAATGCATTGATAACTTATAAATATTTTATAAGTTTGCTCGCCTCGTTAGAAATTGAGGTGGTCAAACAATCTAAAATAACTTTAACAACACAACAATTCTACACATACTAAAGTACTCTTCTTCTTTCAAAGCTTTGCTTTGAGTCTCGTTAAGTGCAAATTCCGATCATGTATGTAATTCATAAAGAACACTGCCATCTCGAATTATCAGGAATCCAATGTTTATGTAAATTAAATTTTTGCTTTGTCAGTTTATTTGTGGAGTTAAGGGAATATTAAATATCATCTATGTAAACTTGAAGCTAAGCTATTTTTTTTTTTTTTCAACAAATGTTTATATCTTTATATTGATTTCTTGCTAAGAATCCAGTTCCAGACATATTTGTTTGTAAATATTAGATATATAATAATTGACAACCATAGAAAAACTCGAACTTTTGACAGTTCTGTAGTTGCTTGAAGGTTTTATGTGAGGCTTAAAGATTTAATTCACTAAAGACATATTTGAATACTTTAATTTTCATAATATATACAACTACTCCATTCCTTTCAAAAGAGTTCACTTGGAACCTGTTCAGCACTTCTCTCAAATTTTCAATTTTGTTATCGGCAAACTGGTTTTCTGAATAATGTAATCTGTTCAAAATAGCATAGGTTCATCATATTGTATCTAGTTATGTCTGCCTGACCTACTGTAAGAGCTCATTTTGAGATAATCTATGTTTTGAAGAAGTTCATAAAACTGAGATTAATTTGAAACATATTTGAAGTTAATATTTCAATTCCGCACACCTAAGAGTATGTTGGACCTACCTTAAAGCTGGTGCCGGAGCCACGATGTCCCACATCCAAGCCGGTCCACTTATTGTTCCAGTAGCGTGTATAGCTCACGCGCATGTCCATGTGGGCGCTGTGGGACGAGGGTTTGACTATCAAATAGCCTAGTTTCATCATGCCTAGTGGCCGGTGGGTCTTGGCACAGGTAATAGGTAGCTCCAGATTGCCTTCGGAGCGCTTGAAAAGATTTGGTAACACATAATGATAGCCCAGATGATGCGGCGGACCGTCCTCCCGCTCAACCTTCGATTTATAGCTATACAGATCCACCAGATAGGCCACATTGTCCAGATCGGCCACAGTCAGATGAAAGATGACCAAGTCCGTGGCGCTGCACGCGGTGCCGAATTGCTCCTGGGTGCGTATCTCGCAGCTGTCGGCGCTGAGGGTGACCACCTCACTGAAGGCGAAGGCTGTGCTATCCCCGCCATTCTCGCGCGTGTCGTGTGTGTCGTTCGATAGCGAGTCCTCGAGCGTGCTGACGGGCGCCATCTCGGCACAGCCTGTGGTGGGGATGCGCAGATTCATAGGCGTCACTTTGACGTGTACCAGACGCCGCTTCATGCGCTGTTTCCAGGTGAACGGCGCATAGAAAAACTTCAGCTGCACCAGCGACTCTTTGGTCAGCCAGCCGCGATCCACTTTCTCCTGCCCATTGACACAGCCGAATGTTTCCTGGCACTCAGGCGGCTGCTCATCCCATTCCTTAATACAACGTGGCTCCAGCTGCACCTCCCAGCGACGCACCAGTAGTTGCTCTGACGTAGCATCTACACCAAAGACCACATAGCGATACTGAGTGTCACAGTGACGTGGTATATACACCTGAGCTGTCCAGACATGACCATCCTCATCCTCATCTTGCGATTCCTCACGAGTCATCAACGCTGCTCCAGTATGCTTCCAATTGCCCAGTGCCTCGCAGCTGCCCACAATGCCGAGCTGCTCGCAGACGGAGAGCATCTCGTTCACCCTGACACGAAATGTCCACAGCCGATTGGTGCTAATGTCGCCGAAGATCCGCTGCGCAGTTGGCACTGTCTCAGCCACTGGGCATACAGAGGGTGCGGCCATGGCATCTTCCTCGCAATCGTACGAAGGCTTCCAGCGCTCCATTGCCTAATAATTGATTGTCTCTTTGAGGGTAAAAACAAAAAAACTTTCACCTCAGCAAATCTTGAAATTCTTGAATTTTGTTTATTCACCGAGGCTAGGACAGTGCAAAGTTCTTTAATGTCTGCAGTTGTTGTTGCTGAGGGTGTTGTTGTTGTTGCTGTTGGCGACTTTAAAGTTCCAAGCACATTTCGACATTTGAGATATGCTCAAACAAAGAAGACGAAGCCCCCCGGTCC